TCTCTCTCTCTCTCTCTCTCTCTCTCTCTCTCTCTCTCTCTCTCTCTCTCTCTCTCTCTCTCTCTCCCCCCTCTTGACGGTAGGCTGGCTGGCTCTCCTGAGTGTGCAAGGAAAACCAGTTCCATGTCAGCGATCTTGCAGATCAGCTGCACGTGAATCTGAGCCAAACCCGATTGCTCCTATTCACTGTCTGTGCCAATCAGAAGGACCATGATATTCCCAACTCTTCCTCTTTGGACAGCCTGTTTTTCTTGTTTGGCCTTCTGCTTTGATTGCTCGGCTTTGCTGTTTCCGGAGTTCATTAGTTGTTCTTGTTGTCCATCACTTATAAGCTGTTGACGGTTGTGTTAATTACAATAAATGATGTGCTGTCGTTGATTTTGCAATACGTGTATGTTTGGCAAAGATACTCGGAGCTGGTCCCTCTTCAGCGCCATGTGTATGCTTCAATTCTTAGGAAGGAGCTTCCAAAGGTACAAGCAGCGGGAAGTGGATCACAGGCAGTCCATAATATCGTAAGTCACCAAACATTGGCATCGCCTGTCTCGACTTTCAAGGGAACGGAGTGAGGTTTTCCACTCTTGCTATCATTTTGTGAAAAATGTACTTGGTCAACGCATTCGCTGGTTGGGATTCAGAAACATTGATTCAAATCATACATGCAAGTGCACGCCGTGCGGGCAATTGCGCACATACGGTGCATGAGCGCACGGGGGAAATAGGCACTCAGAAGAGAAAAAAAAGGGGTCGCAGCCCTGGATCAGTGTGTCACCTGCACCCCCTTCAAATTTGTTGTAGCATGAAAAAAAAGGAAAAGAAAGTTGGGAGAGTAATGTCCCCATCTAACAGTCAAGACTGATGTCCCAAAGACCTATTTGAGCCTAGGATATTTCTGATGCTCAATGGCCCAATGGGACAAAAATAAAAACTTGCAGTGCTGTACTTGAACATGATTTTTTCCTTGGTTAGTACACTTTTCTGCATCTACGAGAACAGCAAAAAAAAAAAAAAAAAGATTAAAAATTGTTGCTGGTGCGGCCCACGGGCCGATTCCGTGCGTCACGCAGCGCACTGCAGTGCAAAACCCCTTCTAAATTATTTCAGATTTTCTTTCTTCCTCTCCCTTCCTCGATTTGCTTTCCTTTTCTTTCCGTGTCTTTCAAGTGTCTGACTATTTTCTAACTGATCTGCACGGCAAGTGTCCAAGAACTTACCACTTAGCACTTAGGGGTTTAGAGGTGGTGATTTAGGGTTTGAACTTTGAAGTCTTAGGCCAAAAAGGCATGTCATGAGGGCTTTTGCAGCAACAAGAAGAGGGGGAGGATAAAATGATTAAAATCCAACATCCCACACGCACCACCTGTACTATTGCTGCTCTTCTGCAGAATCTGCACCGTTTTGCAATTCGGAGCAAGGAAGAGTGAGCGTGCCAAAAAGAGAAAAGAGAGTATGCCAACTCTGCGTGGTTCATGCATATGTCGTCTTATCTGCCCGCCATGAACTTAAGGCATGCAACTGTTACTCTGTGAAACGTTTTTCCATGAGACTTGTCTGATCTTGTTGCACGGGTAGACCTTGACATTGTGACTGCAATCAGCTTCTGAGAAGAATAAGATGCTTCTGAGAATACAACATTGAATCTTGCATTCATCTGTACGCGCTCTGGTTCCTGCCACCTGTTCCCTGCCTGAGGGTATTGAGTCTATCGACTGACTTTAGGTAATGGTTTGCGATTCGTGGTTTGATGTCTTTTAAACCACCACTACCCCCACCAGCCTAAATTCGGCTTTCCTGGCCTGACGGACCGGGTTCTTAGGGGGAGATTTTTGTCAGTCTATGTTACATGCCCAGTTGGGCAATGTATGTATAGCCAAGGATCCACAATGTGATAAAAAGGACTGAATGGACAATGCGGTGTTAGTGGAATCCCAACAAGCAATGTACATCCTGATACATACAAAATGGCACCTTGTAGCGCAGTGGAAGACTTAGATACAAGCCCTGACCTGACGGGGACTGACCTCTCTCACGTAGTACAAGACAGCGCAGCGGAATGCTAGAATACCAATGACTAGCCCAATCAATGTCACAATGCAGACCAAACATACATCATCCTCATCACGAGGTGTGACGGGGGCCTGGTGCTACACACAGGAAGAATGCGCCAGGTCCAGACCATACACAGACGAAGAGGAGGGGATCAGACGAAGAAGAGGGGGAAGATGGGAATGTCATCAACACCAAGTCTTCGGTACAAGTCCCAGATAATCCCTCGTCAAATGTCTGAAGCCCAATGTCGAGTCTGGATCCAAATGTCACCAATCCCTCTCTCTCATAGTCTGCTGATGCAGTGAAGTCAGGTAGCGAGAGGGTGAGGGGGAGATGGTGGACTGAGAAGA